TAGGATAGTGGGGGTGGGATGAGTTCGTTTTTAGTGCTATTAGAGAAGTGATGGCTGGAGGAAAAGTTCGATTACTGCGCTTACTGTGACTTTGTTACTTGGCAGTGCAGTGGTCAACATGTCGTGAGAACGGCCGCTTATCTTTTCTTATCAACTGATAAAACTGCTTGTCACCCGACATCAATGTCGCTATCACTAAAACTCTATAATTTCGTGGTGTAGAAGCTCCAGCATTCGACTGAACAACAATTGCAACGTTCCTTATCAGCCCCTATCAGCTGTTATCACCTGTCACCCGCCGTCGATGTTCCCATCTCCCACTTCATATCATTTTCTGAATCCCTAGCTGACGCTGTGCCTCGCGTTATGGAAGTGGTAATCTTTCCATTCCAACTCCCTTTATCAAATCTTGTCGGTTGCTAGTATTTCTTGTCACCCACCAATAATAATCGTGTGCCATAGTTTATACCATACCTTAGAACTACGTCCCGCTATTGCTGTGACCCACGCTTTGGATTCGGCGTCCATCTATTGACGCCTTTTATTTATCAGATCTTATCAGCTGATATCACTTCCTGTCACTTATCGATAATGTTCCTGTGCCAACCCTTAAATCATATTTTGGAAGCAAGTCTCACTGTTCCTGGGACAAGCGCTATGTATTTCGTGACACACAGATAGACGCACAATGGAAATTTACCTATCAAAGGGTTGAAGAATGGAGGTTCGCAACATATGGACATCCGGTTAGTAGCTTGCTTAGCTTGGATTGTGGACAGAGTACAGCATTGTGGTGTGTGAAATGGCAGTGTCAGTAGGAGTCCCACCCGACCTGGATATTCTTCTTTTCAGAAAATATTTCGGATGGGTTTCAATGGGTTAAAGGCACGTTCCGCGATAAACTGAGGCTAGGTTCTCATAACCGTACACGATGGTCAAGCAACAACGTCAGAGGCTATACCTCTCTTGAAAGTTGAAAAGCAGCACGCAGCGCGTTCATGTTTCAGGTCCATTGGCGCCCGATAGGCCCACGCCGGCCTTCAGCGTGTTGTTGTGAGACTGCTATTGCGCTCGCTCGCCCGTCGTTTTCTGGCTTCTCTCGTCCCTAATCAGTGTATCGCCGCCTTTCGCAAATCTCAGTTGATCTTGACCACCTTACGCTCGTCCGGTGATCATGATCAATAGCAACAAAGAGGGTCTTATTCCGGGCGCTTTTTCGTGCTTCCTCCTCCTTCAATAAGTTACCAAGCACACGACAGCTCTATTTTTGAACCGTCTTACCTATGAGCAGTGGTCGCGAGAATTGCCTTCAATGACAGCCACGCGCGAGCTTTTCTGCTTTGGACGACAATAATTTATGTGCATCGTGAAACGAAATAGATCTCTACAAATCGCTTTGTTTCATTTTCGCAAAAATGCAACAGTTCACCTGAAACCTGCTAGTTTAAAAGACAGTTGGGTTTTTGATGGGCGACATTCTGAGCAACTCAAAAGCTCGACTATTCCTGTGCCATTGTGAGAAAACTCATTTGGAAACTTTAAACATGCCTTCAAAACACATATCGCCGTTGAGGTGGGTGAAGGCATAGCTTTGTTATTACCGACCAGTTTGGTCTGAGTGTGCGCCACGCATTACGTTCCTGAGCAGAAGTGGTGGAAAGTTGAAACATATTTTAAGCAATTTTACTCTCAGCAAGCTGACGTTTATCAAGGTTTGAGAAGGTCGTAAGTAGCCTCCCACACGCCCCAGTCCTCTGCAGCACTGCATGCGTTCTGCACCAAACTGAACGATATCACTTTTGCGCTGTTTGATGTTCATTGGCCTTGTGATAACGCCCCCCCCCCATCTCCTGTTCAGCAGTTACGTACGACCCTTTCATAAGATTCGCACAACAACATTGTGCACTGATTGCGGGCTGCTTTGCTTCAACTTCAACCTCAAATTCCATGAATCAGCTTTTCTACTTACGATTCGGCAAGACCTAAGTCTTCAGAGCTTGATAGCTATGATTACCCGACCAAATACCTGACCAACCTTCTACCACCTACTTAACTTCGAGCTCAACGCAGTCCAACACAAAGTCGTGAAAAAGGCCATTCATTCCCATGAATACCCCTAAGTCGACACAGGGATCCGCTTCAGATTGTTCCTCACTCAGGATCACTATTGGAAGGCCACGCCATACAAGGTCTCAGCTCGCGGCTTATTGCTAAGACCCTCAGGACAGGTGCACAGTCCACTCTAATCGTACGCTTTCAGGAACAATTGTGCCATTGCTGAGTGCGTCTTTTTCTCTGCCATCTGGCGATTGGAAAGAGGGGCTCACACAGTGATGTGTCCAGTGATGAGCGTGACAAGACAGTCGTAATATGTTGCACCGGTAGGTGGTACGACAGACCCCACGTGCGGTGGACGAGTTGTCGGGCCGCGCCTTCGAATTCGAGGGGCAAGGAACGGAGAATCTGGAATCGCCCGTTGTGGGGTCATGTTCCACTTGAATTTGTTGTTCGAGTTTCGCTGTTTTCGAATGGAGCAGCTTTCGCTGCTCCAGTCGAAAACTGATGCTTGTGGAGGTTTGCTGTGTATCGCCGCATGATATGCCGCGTGTGACGAAGCAACAAATTCCGCTTGTCTTGTCCATGTCCCATCAAAATGACACCACCGATATCTTTGAGATGGAATGAGCCTTTAAGTGCTGTGTGCTTTGAATTGCACCACGAAATGTCCATAAAGACACATGGTACGCTCAAACACATTGAGGGTGTATGAGACTATCAGCCCCCAGCTGTCGATGTGTCTTGGTCCCCCCGCCCAAAACTGCACGGGGTCAGAGTACGGGACCGTGGGAAAGTCGTAATTCCTTGCTACGCCGCCCGTTTTTGCAAACTCACGTTTTTACTAACACCGTCAGCGCGGCGCGGTCGCGTGCAGCTCTCTTGGCTTTTCGCCAAGTCCTGTAATTGCGCTTTGGAATACAAGTACAACGCAATTTCTTTATGCGGATAACATTTTAGGTTCTGCAAAATAAGAACTGAAGATGATGGCGAGGGCTAGAACTCAAGAGCAACTGTGGTGCTTCTGCAGTATCCCTCAGAGGCCGCGCATTCCTACAGAATATGACAATAAAAACGGCCTAAGCGTCCCACTCGTTAGTTTGAAGTATTTCTATAGCTTTCGAGCCGGATCGCAGAAATGTGCACGCGATTTTAATTAATTTGCGTTTCCTTAGTTTTTTCAATTTTGTTTTATTTACATCTACGTTCGTTGTTGTTTATTTCCAGCCTTTGTCATCTTCATCACCCTTTATTCGGACTTTGAAGCATGAGCGATACCTCAAATGTTAGTAACTTGCGTTTTGCTTGTATTGTCATGTTTTATTGTCATGTTGTCCGTTTTTATTGTCATGTTCTGTGGGAATGCGCGGCCTCTGAGGGATATTGCAGAAGCACCACAGTTCCTCTTGAATTCTAGCCCTCGCCACAATAACGATTTTTCAGTAGGGCGCAAGTGGCTCACAAAAGAATTCAGGCGTGAGGTTGAATGCAATGCGATAGCCGGCTCCGGACTCACACCATATTCGACGCGTTCTACCCGGAAAACAAAACCAGTCTTCCAAGAACAGGCCGGATCTTAACCAACTTATTTTCTACGTGTGCAGATTTGGCTGAGAGTTGGATTCTAGAGGTAATTCGACCTCCTGAAGACGAACATCACACCCACATGGCCTGACCTAGGTTATTTCAGCGCCAGCGTCAAAATACCCTGGGTCACTAGATCCGCTGAAAACTTGTATAACAAGACCAATTAGCATCTTGATTGCATATATCACATTCATTTTGGGCGCTGGCGCTGATGGAAGACGCTGTGATTGTCTGCGCTCTGGTATGGCTGGCCTGACCTAAAGGAAAACACTCTTTCTCACAAGCTCAGCCCTAGAAAGTGTTAAATGACACTGGAGTGAATGTCCCGTACTATGCAAATTCACACCGAATTTGGTGGGAAAGGTGGCGGAGCCAAACTGGCGCTGCCCTATTGGCGCCAGTTCAGCTCCGCGAGTGCTATACAGTGTATACGCGATAAGGACACTGAACTATCTCTGTGGGCGAGGTTTCACCAAAAGAAAATTTTCTGTCTTTTTGGGGTAGTAATAGTTGGATAGTGCCATTTTTGGTTTTCGCGTTTCCAGCAACAATAGTTGAGCTTGATTTCAACTTTCCCGCATTCGAACTTCTGGTTACAAGGACTATTGGGGCTCTGATCCATGGAATAAGATTAGACTATAGCAGAGGAAAAAAATCATGGAAACCTTAGTTTCTGAACGGCAGAACGAAAATGCCCTTCTTCCTCCCAGCTTAATGAGAATTTCAATTTTTTGACAAAAAAAGGTCTGCTTTCTCCCAACAATAGTTTAGTTCGACTTCCTGCAGTGCATTATACCCTGAAATAGCTCACGCTTCTGCTACAGTAGCTCAAAACATATGTAGTCAAGTTGGCTACGATCGCTTTTTTCACGTAATGCGCGTCGAATACGGTGCGAGGTCCGTGGTCGTCTATTGCAATGCACTGAACCTCACGCCTAAATTTTATTGTGAGCCACTTGCGCCCTACTGAATAATCGTTATTGTGCCCTCGCCATCATCTCCGGTTCTTATTTTGCAGCACCTAAAATGTTATCCGCATAAAGAAATTGCGTTTTACTTCTTCCAAAGCGCAATTACAGGACTTGGCAAAGAGCCAAGAGAGCTGCACGCGACACGCGCCGCGCGAACGGTGTTAGTAAGAACGTGGGTTTGCAAAAATGGGCGGAGCATGGAAGAATTAGACTTTCCCACGGCCCCGTACTCTGACGCCGTGCAATTTTGGGCGGGGCGACCACGACACATCGACAGCTGGGGGGGGTGGGTGATAGTCTCATACATCCTCAATGTTTTTGAGCGTACCATGTGTCTTTGAGTAATTGGAAAAAGGTGTGTGGACGGCAATAACTTGCCATACCAACGTATAATACTTCGCCTGTTTCGAATGATTTGCGAGATTTCCTTCCTTGCAGTTCCAGTGGTCCGTAAGTAGATAGTCGCAGAAGTTGAGAATTCTGCAAATTAAGATTATACGGAGCAGTGATGTGTTGAAACACGCGCTAAGAAAAGCTACCTACTTTTGTTTTGTCGAGAAGATGTCGGCATGTGGCGTCAGTCATAACCAAAGGGTCCTGACTCACTGTTTCAACAAGGAATTTTGGATGACAAGAAGCAAGTCGCACATGCTCCAATAGCTGCAAAATCACTGAATGAAGCAGTATTCAGAAAATGACATTGAATTTGTCCTTGCCTTTGGGAGGAATCTTTGCCGATTCGTCTGGTCAAATCTGACCCATCTTGTCACAGCTGCGAAAACCTGAAAGAACGACCTGTGATTCACCATAGGAGGTAAAGAAGCAATAAAGAAAAGGAAACAAGGGTATAAGTTTGTGAAGGCAGGCGGTATATAGTTGTGCGGTCGTGCGCGCAGAAGGTGAGGGGGCTACTCATTTCCGGGGTGAGGCCAGGAAGTTGGAACGAGGAATACTCTGCTTCCCACCTGCAGAAGGGCTGCCTGAAAGAGAGGGTCTTGCATGCACTTGCTGCCCCTGCGCACTTAATTCTGCGCGCAACTTGGACGTACACCTTCTGCTTCCCTAAACTTGTTCTCAAGACTGGAATTCCAAGTCTGATCTTCTTTCCGGAGTTAGATATACCTGTTCCTCTGATTGCACATTTAGCTCTTCACTTGAAATTAGTTTGATTAATCGATCGAAACGAAGCTGGTTGAAACCCTCACTCTCGGCGACTTTCTAGAAAGGTGAAGCGAAATCATCGCTTAGAAACCAAAAGCTACCTACATTTTAGCATCAAAGTGCGAACCTGGAAATTTTGGACGATGTACATGTCAGCACAGCGAAAAAGCTCCTGACAAGAATAATAATCGGCAGTCGCTTGAACTTTGAGGCAATTCGACGGAACCAAATTCTTTTCCAAAAACTCGCAGCAGATTTCCTATAAATAGCAACTGTATCGTTTGAGCCCCAAGATTTCGGAAGCATTCCTCTGAAAATGGTGAGCTATGCAATACATACTGACTGCAAAATTGCTGAAAGAAAGTGAAGAAAAAAAAAGTAGGAAAACGGACTCGAAATGCCCCATATAGAACCTCGTTCCTGACCGATCTTGTACTTGATTTAAAGGTGACACCCGCGATCAGCTGATATCTTCCTCCCACTCCGTAAGCAGGTGGACAAGCACGAAAAGACAGCGATTACTCCATTTTGGCTGCGCAAAGGTGAGGGAGGATAGCGAAGACATGGTCGTCCACCTCGTTGGCAGGACCCATTTTCACTGACCCCGCCCGCCGCTCTGCTATCCAATGATAGAAGACCTGCTGCAGAACATCGGCAGAAACATTGTTCGGTTACCCGAAAAGTTCTCAGCGTGTTGTGTTACTATTTTTTGTACATTCATTGCTGATTAAAAACTCATTCTCCCTTGCGTCTCAGTAGTACATCCTAAAGAGAATTCTTTGCGCTATCTGATGGTATAGTAGCCGTTTTACCATTGCATGATAAACCCCCTTTTTTCAAGACTTTTTGAGCATGTCAAAAGAGCAACTTCGGACGATTGTTCTTCAACTACAAATCTGGTCAATCCGCAGTCGAGACAGCTCGACAAACCAGTTGTGGTGGCCCAATAGTGTTGGAAAAAGCACCGTGAGACAATGGTTCGACAAACTTGGTTCTGGAGATTTCAGCCTTGAAGATGAACCTCGTGGCGGTCGACCTAAAGCAATACCTGACGAGGATTTGAAGGCTTTGTGGAGGCTGACTCATGCTAAACAGTTCGAGAGAATGCAGAAATCTGAGCCTCGGCAAATCCATTGTTGCGGACAGTTGGACATTGGGAAGGTGCAAAAAGCAGAAAAAGTGGGTCCCCCCAATTTGAGTACCCGGCAGAAAATGGCACATCTCGGGATTCATTCTTCACTGCTTTTGCGCAACAGAAACGACCCGTTTTTGAACCGAATTATCACCTTTGATGAAAAGTGTATCATGTATGATAACAGGAGACGTTCCGGACAGTGGTTGGATGCCGACGAACCACCGAGGTAATTTTCAAAGCCGAATCTTCACCAGAAAAGATTATGGTCACAGTTTGGTGGTAATCGGCTGGTGTGATCCACTACAATTTTTTGCCAAGCCAGTCCATCACAGCAGAACCCTACTGTGAAGGAATCGACGAAATGTACCGAAAATCTTGTCAGCTGCAGCCAACACCTATCGAGAGAAAGGGTGCGATTCTTTTGCATGACAACGCCCGCCCACATGTTTCACAAATCCATAAATTGAACGAATTGGGGAGTTGAAGTTCTACCTCACCCGCCATATCCTACAGACCCTTCACCAACCGACTATGACCTTTTCAAACATTTTCAGACTTCCCTGTTGGAAAATACTTCATCAATCAGGACCAGGCAGAAAAAGCCCTCGTGGGTTTCGTGGGTTCTCGACCACCCAGTTTTTTCTTTGATGGGATTTATCGACTGATGTGACACTGGCAAGTGTGCTGATTCAAACGGTTCCTATTTCGATTAAATCCGATGAGTATTAAGAACGTCATGATCGTTCAAATTGAAACACTCAAAACGCTAAGAACTTCTCAGACAACCTACTAGGAATAGACAATCAGCTGTGATCAAAGGCGCAACTACATCGATTACAACTGCACTCGCCCGATGATCTCGTCCGAACACTCTCTTTACTCTTGCTTTGCTCTTACATTTGCGATCATTTGTTTTCTGTTTTTTCTGCACTACTGACTTTGTTGGTATCTCAGCATCGCAGTTCAGCATCACTACCCAGTATATCTGATCGCAGGTTTTGTCTTCAAGGCGAAAAGGGCGTGGTGGACAAGTTCTCACATGCTGTGTCACCTCTTTCTCTTATCACCTCGAAACGGGGAGGAGCAGTGGCGGAATAACCTCACCACCAGGACACCTTTAAAAATGGCGTTTGAACGTTGTCATGGTCATTGAGGCTGCCGTGGCTCGTCGTGAACGGGTCTTTATTTTTTTCATGTATCTCGAGCTGCGACGGCAGTATATCCCCGCTGTAGGCCACGCCATTTGCGTTTGTTGAATTTCCGCCAAATCCCACAAAAAAAAACACTAATTGTAAGACAAAAAAAGTAGAGTGTCTATTACAGACTGTAAGGTAGATTGCGCTGCGTTCAAAACGCCTTTTTACTGTTGTACTGGAGCGAGTGGTGTACCATCCCATAAGCCAGGTGTTTTTGAAGTGCCCTTTTTGGATGTCAGTGACATTTCTGTGAGCTGAGCTTCTGAGGAGGAGAAAGCGAGGTTGTAAAGATTCAGGTTTTCAAGGGAACTCCCCTTCTGTGACACTGTTCTGACATTTTCCTCTTGATATTGACAGCCATAACACTCTTCACATGTTCTTTTCAAGACAGTTCCCGTGATCGAGTGTAACAGGGTGCTCAGCCATGTAGCAGTAGCCCATTAAAACTCATCAGTATAGAAGTGAAAAAAAGTACGGGAACACCCTCAGGATACGCCCAATAAGCAATATTCTAGGGACAATCAATCAACGGCAAGAGCACAGTAAATCGCCCTACGACGCTCCAGGCAATACTATGTACATATGCAATTCCGCTTGTAAGCCGTTGTCGGGAGTTACAGTATGCGATTACAGCAATTGCAAAACTCACGCCCTTCTGGCTCTTTATCTCGCCATGTCGAGTGACGAAAGTGTTATTTTTTCTGTGAGTACGGATAACGATGTCAAATGTACGGAGACGTTTCGCTGATCACTTACTTGATCATGCGAAGTGTCTTAAGAAATCAGGTACACCATCGAATCCGGAAATCTTCCCTTTTTTGAGGAGCACCCTGCTTTTTCCTCAGTTTTTTTCTCAAGCTCGATATAAAAAAATTTCCGTTCTAATGTTGCTGTTACAACTCCCGGACGACGCGAAAAATCCAAACCTTCAGCGCAGTACCACTTGCTGTTTGAATTCAGTAAGCTTCTGGGACACAGCTTCTTATCGAATTTATCAGAAAATAATTTTTCGGCGCCCCATGACAATGAAATCTCCTCTGTATTACGCCGTGCACCTGATTCGCACCTAGAGACCTTTGAAAAGGTGTAACTTCTAACTTTGTGCAGGCAGATGTGCTCCTGCGATCCACTAAGGCCCAAGCATATACTTTATTTCATTTGTTTATCGATTCATGACGTCGTCACGGGCGCCTACCCAATTTCTCGTCGTAAACGATCCCACTTATGAACTCGCAGCTTTCCTTGGTCTTGAGGTGTCCCTTTATGTGTTCTTCACAACAAGAACTGTGAATAAATCTTTCTTCAGTCAGTGATTGTGCGACATCTCAGTATTACTGCTCTTTTCACTTTTTAACGAGCCCTGAGCCCCTCTCCATCCTTTGATGTCAAAAACGACCCCTTCGCCGTCGTGATTTCCACGATGACGACGTGCCCTGCCTCCATGCTCACGGACAGGACGTGCATTTCCAAAGGAGGCGTACGTCAAATGAAGGTGGAGTGTGCCTTCGAGCCTGTGAGGTACCAGCAAATTAGTTTTATGGTCTTACAAACCTGAACTTTGTCCAACTGAAAACGGCAAGCTGCGGCCAGCGTACTCAGTGAATTATCCTCGGTGATCGTGATCTTCCCATAGTAGCAGAAATTTAGAAGATCATCAAGCGTAGAGGCTTCCACATCGAACATTTCTATCTCTCCTAGAACGGTAGTAAAACGTACACTGCTAAATCGCATCCGCAAGAATTGCGTGAGCACTGAGCGAAGCTGTGTGTCAGACTGGTTCTCCAGGGCTACTAGGGCAATCCCGTCCGGGACCGTTGTTACCGGATCTATATGGAAGGGGACCCTGTACAGTGTGCCCCGCATGTTGTAGGCCTAATCCTCTCCAATTACCAATGCGATTCTCATGGGCACTGATGGGCGACCTATTTGAAAGGATTTGCCAAGCATATATCGGACTTCATGAACATACGCAGGTGTTTTTCAGCCATATCGTTTGTAAACATGGCTTTGAAATAATCTGAGCATGCAGCGAGTACATTTCTATGAGCGTTGAAACGTGCTCCCTGAAATAAATCTGAATAAAACGTTGGCACAGTATTAGGTTGTCCAGGAAGTCTCTTTTCCTCAAAAAAAGTCTCGAGACCCTAGACCTTGAAATTACTTATTTTTTTGTTCAAAGATTTCTCAATATGCTACAGATGTCCAATACCAACAGTTCAAACGGCTTTTGATCCCAGATGTTTGGAACAGTGTCAGTTGAAGGGAGGAAGTACTGAAACAAGATATTCAGCTACTCGCAACTGGTGGCTGTGGTGATTATGTGCCAGTTTGTCTATTACCGAGACAACTCATCCTGCAAAAACAAAAAGGTAGGGGTCGGATTGGTTGCAGGGAAGGGGGCCGTATCGTGTCACAAGAATTTTTTAGATCGTTGAATTTTCCCGCTTGATGTGCACCATGTTCCCCACCCCCTCCCAAACTTAGTATCGAAATTTCGTGAAATTTAGCCAAATTATGATAACATTTACTTAGCTGTAACATAATGGGCGAATGGTGGAAGTGGGTTGCACCGGGAGAAAATATTGTCACGGGGGGGGGGTCATCGTATCCAGCTAACACTTTCCACATCATGAAAATGTGTTCTGTTCTATGCCATTACACCTAGCGCACTTTCCGATTTTCGTTAAATGAGAGTGTGATTTTGTTTTCTAACTAAGCATTTGTCTCCCACTTGCCTCCCATCACTTTCAAACGGGTCAAAAGGAAAACTGCACAAAAAGGAGAGCTCGCCCTACTTGGTGGGATTCAAGAAAATACCGAGTGGGAAGCGCTGGTGGGCAACCAGTAACCCACAAAAGCGCAAGCTGGCCATGCCACGCCATATCATGCCAATGCTCAACCTTATTTGGCAAAGCCTTATTGCAAGAAGGTTGTCGATAACGATTGAGAGAGCCTTCCGCGCCTCTATTCCTCTCCTAACTTTGTCTCATCAGAATCAGTGCACAACATCAATAAGAAATCCCATCAGGGGAGCAGTTGGTCGCAGGTTTGAGAGCCGTATTCTGACGACGAGGGTCGTTCCGGTTGAAAGTTATTCTGCGAGCTGCGAGAGAATCTTTCCGTTTGCGATTTTTCCCAGTTCACGTGCATTTTCTGACCCTCCCAGTTGCGTTGCGGGGCTTAAATGACGAATCTTTCGCACTTCTTCGCCTTGCATCCGCTAGTACTCGACTTTAGAAATTGATAGCCACCAGACATACGCAGCGGATCGTAAAGGCTCTTATTTTGTTTTTGAGAGGCACGCTCGCTTTCAAAAATGATGAGTTGTGTCGCTCACTTACGTGCCATACTTTTATACCAGTGGAAACGCCGCCTTCGGCGGGCGATCCTCCTTCCGGGTGTGAAGTGGGTCCCTGGCATTCCTACTGAGGCCCAGTCGGATCGCCCGCCTTCGGCGGGCGATTCCCCTTCTTGTGTTCGCCAAAAAAATTTTTCAAAAATTTCCGGACTTTACCGTTTCATTCTTATATATACCCCCCCCCCTAAAAAACAGTCGTTGAAATTTCCTATAGGGTACCCTGATTTGTGTTAACGACTCGCCGAATGAACGGGGGTCTTTGTGTCCCTCTCTCTCTTTTATTCATCTAGCTACCCGCTGCTCAGTTTCACTCATATTCCCCCTTTAGAGATCTGCTCCGGGTGAATTTTGGGGATTTTCATTCTCGGCTTCGTCCACTCTGGCGAACGCCCCGCTCATTGTGGGCGGAGCTTGGATGAGGCTTTGTGTGCTCTGCAAATGTTGGCCCATGTCAGGTCTATTCTAAGCACAAACTGGTCTCCTGAAGTGAATTTCCACGAAACCCCAATTTCAAGCGGTCAGACAGACGCACACACATACAACTTCCGGTTTATATATGTATGTAGAGATAGGGAGTGCTTGGGTAGACTATCCTGACATTGCCCTTTGGGCGGTGAGTGGTATGTCGGAGTCGGAAAATTTGTGATTGAACTGAAGTGGGGAATATGAATTTGCTTAGATTTTTGTGCAGTAATAACGGCAAATAACAAAGAAGTGAATATATTGGTTGGTAAGAATCCTCGATTTTGGTCCCCATCCACTGAGGCACATGTGTCTGTGCCACTTTTATGTGCCTCGGAATCGAATTATGAACTATTGCGGGGGACTCTAACGGTTTGGTACACAATATACTGCTTACGAGTCTCTCTCTTATTCATCTAGCTGCCCGCTGCTCAGTTTCACTCATATTCCCCCTTTCGAGATCTGCTCCGGATGCGTTTTGGGGATTTTTATTCTCGGCTTCGTCCACTTCGGCGAACGCCCCGCCCAATGTGGGCGGAGCCTAGGTGAGGCATTGTGTGCTCTGCAAATGTTGGCCCATGCCAGGTCTATTCTAAGCACAAACTGGTCTCCTGAAGTGAATTTCCACGAAAACCCAATTTCGAGCGGTCAGACAGAACCACCTTGTGCCATTTTGAAAACATTACCTTGAATTGATACCACGACATGAATGGGTTCGCAACTTTGCTAGCGGTGGGTTCTTCCTATCGCACTCATCAAAGTAGCAGTGTACTGTCGTTGGAGCGCTCTCTATACACCCCCCCCCACTCCCAAGGCCTCTCCTTCCCTATCCTAATCCATCGACGCGCTCACGTTCAATTGCCCCACGAGCAGCTTAAGTAATGGCTTGGAACACACCAAATGCTTGCCTCATACAGTGTAATGTGTAATCATATACGCAATGTTACCTTAAATTTACAGCACAACGTGGATTGGTTCGCAACACTGCTAGCAGATGGACCATCCTTTCTTCGAATAATCGCTTTCAATAATTCTTTTTTACCCACAGTAATGGTGTGCTCCCGCTAAAACGTGCTCTCCGCCCCACCCCCCCCCCCTCACCCCCTCGCCGCATCTCTTCCCTGCCTCTCCCACTGCACAGCTCACATCCAGCTGCTATGGGAGCAGCCCGTGCAAAGGCTCGAAGTGCACTACGTAGTTGCCTTATGTAGTGAAGCTATCGCAATCAAAACTGGATTGATATATCTGCACCGAAACGTTCCTAGATTGGCTAGCGGTCGTTTTCTCCACCCACTCACATGATGAGCCCCATGAAGCATTTTGCGGACAAACATACATCTTACATACACACAAACATACATACATACTATACAGGGGAGGCCATAAAAAGAAAAGACTTTTTCCTTCCTCGACTTTCGAGGCGCTATAACTACACTTTGTTAAATTCTTATCGGACACTTCTACCACCATATTAAAGAGCATATTAAATACTATCATGATACTCCGCCACAGCCTTCTGGAGGAGCGCCATCGAGAGATTCTGCCACGCGACCGTCAGTGGGTGCGTGAGTTCAGCGAGATCGTTGATTTCTCCGCCACTGTAGACCACCCTATTTAACTCCGCCCGAGCCAAGTAATTGATGTGGTTTAGTTCAGGTTACCTGCTTAGATATTCCACCTTCCTCAGGTACTCAGCCCCCTTCCTTTCCAAGTAGGCGAGAGCTTCTCCAACGCCCTTCTATTCCATGTGGTGACACCCAAACCTGTAGCAGCACAAGGTCTCCAAGAAGGTACGAGCGACCACATGTGGGGAGGATATCCTTCTCGAGTTACTTGATGTAACCGCCAGCGCTCACCTTCAGTCGGGGTCCACAAAGAAAATATCGGTCTTCCCATTCCAGGTACGGCCGGTCCACGCCATCAACCCGCGCCTTGAATGGGGTGAAGATGATGTCCTGGACCGTAGCGACGTTGCCGGAGCTGCTCGATGTTTGGGGTCTTGCAGATTAAGAGTACTTGTCTCCAGGTAGCTATCCATGGGTGATTCCATTCAAGAAGTTCCGCAGCTGTTTGGAGGCCACGTGAATTCCAAAGGCGTTCTCGACTCAGGCCGCGACTGGAGATGACTTCATATTTTGGTGTACATGAAGGTGAATGGCGGCAGAAGGCTCCTGCTTATAGAGGAAGATCTTGGGTATCTTCCGCCCTGGTACTCATATCCACTTCCTCTGTCTGGGCTGCGAAAACTTTGCTCATATGTGACTCGGCCGGAATGACTTTTTTTTGCCCCCCCCCCCTATACATGCCTACCTACATACATACATACTCACAAACATACAAACCGACACACAAAGTTACTGGTTTATAAAATGAAAGGATATTTACTATATTACTTACAATATTAGGACACTTGTGATTGTTTATTCTGTTTTGTCAAACAAATGAAGCTATAGTTTTTGGAGGAAAAGTTTGATGCGAGACTTTCAGGACAACCTAGTGAGTGTATAGTTTGCAATATACCTGTACGACCAGAGTCACATCACATAGCAAAGAGTCGTTACGAAGCTGTGCCAGCTGGTTGAGCAGAAGGCGGCTGTGGCTATAACTCTGAAAAATCTGGTAAATGTTAGAATGAAAGAAATCTGCGGTCAACTCATTTACACCGTATCTTTTAGCAAGCTAGTATCAGTAGTTAATAATCATTATCATGAACATGGGCACGAGTCGAACGTGACGAACATCGGTGTTCACGTTTGACTTGAAACAATAAGCCACCAAGTGTAGGACCGGAATTTTTCAAAAAAACTACAGTGCTTGGCTTCGTTGCAGGACCACGTACCGTATGTGGCGCATTTCGGGCTTTCTAAACCGGCCTGAATTTACATGCGCTTGCTTTTGGATTCAGAGCGAACGGACGGTAGACATTTGTCAGGAAAACGATTATGATATGGGTTAGGACAGTCTTTCTGCCTTTGGTTAAGTATACACATGCCTAACATTACCGTACCGTTACTAGCTACACGGAGGGGAGCTTCTGCAAGGGTTAAGATCAAAAGATTGAGTGAAAGTACATTGATATTTTATGAAGCACGGCCAGGCGAATTAAAGGACTAGCAATAGATTCTTTCAAATGTGCGAATGTTTTGCAGTTCCTGCTGATTTCTCGTGATATAAAAGGGTGATGGCTTTATTGAACATCTTCTGCCCACAAACTAAAATTTTTTTTGCAACTTAGTCTACAGGTGTTATTCGATGTCCCGATTACGAATATGACACTCATTTCTAGCGCTGGCGCCATTTGGCGTCACTATGCGCCACTTTGACGCCTCCCTCTTCTTCCCAAAATCGTAAAAACTTGCTTAATAGGGTTGTTTGATGCTTGATCATCACCAGCGCCATTTAGCGTTTTCCTGAGGGTGAACCTGGGAAAAGCAGTAATTCCCTTCAGGCCAGGCCCAGTCTTTGCAAAGCGCAGATGACCATAGTGTCATACATTAGCGCCGCTCCAAGAATAAATGTCATTTTCCTATCAATATGTCAAATAACCCCCATATAGAAGCTTTCAGCGAATTTGGTGATTTAGGGTATCGTGATGCCGGCGCCTGTGGCGCTGGCACCAGGCAGTTTCCTGGAAGATGGATGTTATATTCGTGTTAAGGAGGTCGGAGTATCACTGTAAGCAAATTTTCTGCCAAATCTGGCATTGTAGAGAAAAGTAGGTAAAAACCGGCGTGACTTTGGTAGATTCAGGATAGCAATTGTTCAGTAGTTCCAGTGCAATTTTTTTTTCCACGAGGTAATCAGATCTCCATGCTAAGCACCAGGACAGAAACAGCTTGACCCCATAGCGAATGAGTGCGTATCCTAGGCTTAGGAATGTATCTTCACTTATTAGAGCAATCAAAAAGTTCGAAGTCGAATCGAAGTTGTAGAAGTATCTGCGGATTCGGGAATATTCAGTATTTCCTCTCGCATATCGTGTGGATATGCTCAAGCCTCTAATAAAATGCCCACATAACACTTCCTCAGCTGGTCCGTGGAAAATTGCCTGAGTGTATACATCCAGCAATGAAACCTACAAACGGTTTTGTCCAAATCACTAAACTTCATCTTCTCAATATAGTATACTACTCCAAATCCAGAGGAAGGGCGCACTCGAAGTTATGACAGTTGAAAAGTTCCGGTCCTACACTTAGTGGCTTATCTGAAACACTCCTCGCACTTGAGGGAGTATGAAACGATGGCAAGATGGAATATATGGTGCTCACTATGTGGATAAGGGAGTGCTAATTGATACAGCTAAGGATTGAATGGCGCAGAAAACTTTGAGAAACACCTTAAATAAAACTTTCACATCTCTGACGTGAGGGGATCGGGCCTAAGAATCAAAAAAGTGTGGAACGAGCGGTTTATGAATATTGATAAAACCTACATAGTGCACGTCGTTGGAACGTGTGCACTTCACGTCAGCAAAATAGAAAACTTCTAACTTCCACACTGTCGCTTTTCGCGACTGCTCGCTCGCGTGCGCCTGGAATCAGCCATGCTTCACGGCCAAACACGCCAGCGGGAAGGCGCAGCGTGGTAGAGCCCCTATAGCCTCAGGTAGAGCCCATATATGGTCTGCTGACGGCCAGCTAGAGCGCGTCTCTCCCTCCGAAAGAAGGAGCCGCCTGGCACTCTGCGCTCCTGATACGCAGAGCGGACTATAGAGTGCTTCGTGCACTCTATACATTGCTGTAATTAGGCACACTGCTCCTTTTGGGAAAACCCCGGGCCCGCTGCATCTGTGGGTGCGGGTTGAATCACGGAGCCAACTGGGTACCAATTACGACTAGGACTGATGGACTACAGATGGATGGTTTGTGTAACCCTGACAGGAACTGAGGGTAACATGGAAGAAGGTGAATAATAAAACTGTAGTATTCTTGGGAGCATCCGGGCAAGGGGACCCGGCAAAATGCTGCTTAATCGCTGATGGCTGAAGTAGTTGTTGGTGCTACAGTTAATGGTGGGCTGTTGCCTGTGGCGCTGGCCGACCGATCGCAGTACAGAAGAAACGGCTACTGGTACCCCGGGGCTTTCCTGGACTACCGACTAGTCGCAGTGAAGGGCTAGCAAAAAGGTCGCTCCCCGTACCGACGTACCCCATGTTTCAACCTTGGGTAGAACGCTTATGTCAGCTAACCTCACTACCTGACATTTCTCGGTGAGCGTCTTCAAATAAAAGTGCCCTTGAAGATGAAAATATCGAATCGTTTGCAGAGACATTCCGAACGAAGATTAAAGGTGCACTCAAACTAAACTTTGATCTTAGCCAAAAGGCCGAGAAGTCAAGATGAAAGTGCATGGAATCAGCTCTGCGTCAAACCGTTGCGTCCTACACATTCATGGTCAAGGAGATTCATTCAACGTAGAATTCGATAAGCAGGATCTCTTTGGCGATTCGCCAATCGCCCCAATTCTAAATACAGTTATGAGAACCACCTACTAGATATAATTCGCCACGTCTCTTTGCTCGTTCGCTTGAACGTTGGGTGTTTCTTCGGTTATCTGTCCGAAAACACGGCTCTTCCACAAGAACAACTTGGGAAGGTGGGTCAACGTCGGGATGGGCAGGGCACGGTACAAGATCTAAGGAGCAACCGTACCCGTGCCAAGGCCCGCCCAGTGAGCGGTGCATGCGTCGAAGAATGGCGGTTTCAGTGGGGAACTTCGTAGTTCAGTTCCAGAGCAGCGCCGAAATAGGGGAAAGTAATGTGAGGTTAGCAAAGATTGGCGGAACAAATGGAGGAGACACCCGAAGTGAGCGGGGCGTACTTGAGATGGGCGATGCTTCGCACAAATGTCGCAACTTGGTCCCCGAGAGAGTTCATAGATTGCAAAAAAGTCCATGGCAAAGACAAACACCTGGAGGGTACGCCACCCCAAACCTGTGCTATGCTGAAACCCGCCCGCAGTGCGCGGGGCATGACTTCGGATAAGAGGTGCTAAGTTGGAAAAAAGTAGTTTCGTCGCAGAGCACCACAGACTTCGGAAAAAAGTTGATTATGGTCCCTTAGGTGTCCACAATTGAGAAGCGCGAGACACATCAATTGTGGGGGGGGGGGTGTGCGGAGAGGGGGGCGGAGCAAAATCTAAAATTTCGTAAAACGGTTTTAGAGTACTCCAGACACCAGGAAAAATTAGACTAATGCCAGCGATAGCTCACCGGTTGAGAAGTGCGATATACCCCCATTGTGGGCGCAGCGTGAGGCAAAGTGGGCGAAGACAAACTCAAAAATTCGTGAGACGCTCCAAGCGTACTGCAGAAACTGGGAAAAATCAGGCTCATGCCAGTAATGGGTCATCGTTTGAGAAGTGCGATGCACACCCATTGTAGGCGAGCAATCCTCGAGGTAGGCCGGGCCAAAGACAAAAATTCACGAATTGCCGAATCGCTTGCACGGCAGCACGGGCACCGGGGAAGTGAATCAAAGCCCACGAGGGTTGGCGGATGAAATAGGGGAGACATCCCCAGAATGGGCGGGCTATCTTCGAGATGGACGGTGCTCAAGTTTCGTTATCCGGACCAGAGCGGCTTCGGGAGATCAGAAAAATTGTAGGAGAAACATATGGTGAAGGTTGAGGTGTGTGCGGTGTTTTGTCCGCCCACAGTGGGCTGTGCAGCCCTAAAGCACGAGGTGCCTATTTTTTAAGCTTTAAAGCATCGACAGTCATTCTCTTGATCATCGGCCGGCTGACGCCTGCGCGCCTCGTCTGTGGCCTTGCCGGGATGTCATGACTTCGTTTCGCCTCCGTACTTTCGTACGCTCGAATAAGCGACTGATACCCGGCTTTCCTCTCATCTCTGCACTTCATCAACACTCCTTACCACAATTCCATGCGCAGTAATAGTGCTGGAAATTGTAGGTATGATTTTATAGGTGAAGGGGCGTAGGTCATCTGTTCAAATGAAAAAGAAGCCGGATATCATCTGGTTACAAACATGTAGAAGAAGGAAAGCGCGGCGAAGCAAGGCCGTATTGTAGAAAGAGGCGTGCTTGCGCAGACGAGCCGACTGGTAAAATCCAGTAAATACTAAATACACAGATGCATATGCAGTTAGCTGTTAAGCACGTTTCCAACATTTTCAAATTTAATTTGAGCAGAACAATGAACAACCTTATATCTCTCGGCGACTTTCTCCTTATTTTCCGACATTTCGGCGTGCTTCTTCTGCAACTTTCTTTTTACGAGCTATTCCCAAACTATAAAGACGAAACTTTAAATAGGACCATTCAAATAAATGAATTGTGCGTTGCAATTTCGAGATACCAAGAAAGTCTTGAACAAGAGGCCAAAAAGGTTTAATAGCAGCAGGCACAACTTGTTATCCTACCAAACTATTGGGTCCTGGTTTTGGTTCAAGCACGCTTTCGAAGCGGATTCCCCGGCCGAGCAGCCGCATGAGTTCTAACCCACGACATGGAACAGAGAAAAGGGGCTAACATATGGATGGACGGAGACCCCACAGTGCCCCTATGTTCCCTTCCTTAGCCAGGGCTTAGACTTCAGTAGAAGTCGCACAGAAAATGGCTCCGTAAGGAATACGACCCTTTTAACCGTCTGCGCTTTTATTGTAGGTCTTTGATTGGGGAATGAACCTGGGGATGCTCAAGAGCGCTTCCCTTCCAAATACGTCAATCCCAGAACCTAACAGAATGTTCCTACCGAATCTCTGCCAAACGCTTTTTAATAATAAGGGGCCATCCTAGTAGAGCTTCTCTGGGATATTTATTTGGTCACTTTTGCATTCTTCTTATACTACGGAGAAGAAAAGCAAAAAAAAACGGCGCAGCACTGCCAGCATCTGTCTGCGAATTCTCCTTTGAAACAGCCTTCCGCGGAACTTTTTGCGACAACAACAGAGGAGGCACATAGCGGTTAAAAGCTGAACGCACGATGATTCAAGATGAAGTATTGCGCAAGAGATAGTGTCGTGTGATCGCTGCCCTTACAGCGGTATCTATTGCGGTTACGAAATCATCTTCACCAGTCGTGCTTGTAAATATGAAGGGGCTCCTAAGAAAAGGCGGGAATCGACACCGCTCACAGAGATGTGCGGGAAGTGTAAGGTATCCGGATTTCATACTAAATCTTAGTAGCCCTTGAGTGGATTTTGTGCAATGAGTAGCTCACAAAGGACACTCACGTAGTACCGTTTGGGACGGTACTGGTTGGTGGAACCCTTAATCGACTCTTTCTGCGCTTTGGCGGTATGCGCTTTGTCAAGCGAAGCTCGGAAACGTAAAGGACCTAGTAGCACAGCCACGCTCCCGTCTCTTCCTCCATCTCCCCCCCCCAGTACACACCACGAACAAAGCCAGCACCTATAACGAAATCCAGGTCAGTATCCTTAATTGGCCCACACAATAACGTACGGAGTCAATTTCTGTACTAACATGTTTTCCCCCAGCCAAAACATCACCGGATCTACCAAGGACGGAGAGAAGGCTTTGAAGACCTCAAAAAAGGGCGATACCGAAGTGGATCGAATTAGAGAGAATTTTACTCCTAACAAGGAGGTGGATTGAATTGTCACAGTGGTTGCAAATTCCGCATCTGCTGCAGACTCCCTGGACGAACTGGCGAGGGTTTTCGGTGTGAGAATACGAACGCTGCAAGAATTCAGAGAAAAAGGCGGAAGTTTCTCTGTGGCTCAAGTTTTGAGATCGGTTGGGGTAGGATCAGATCCTTGATGCTTTTTTGCATATTTTTGACAGTGTTTTAGATATCCCTAGAATCCGTTCACCTACTGGAGAGTAAAGCAATATGTTACTTTCCTGGAAGACATGGTCTCATGTTGGGAGAATCAATCAATAGGGAGGTGCCAGGGTCCTTATCCGTAGCGCACGTGCAAGGCCTCTTCGTGTCAGACGAGTGTAGAGCTCTTGGTCAGGACGTCGAACTACTTTTAATTACGAAAATTCAGATCTGACCATCACACCAAAAAGATTTTGCCCAGTCGGGTTCGTTGTGGATGATGGGGTGTATGCCAGGGCACGCCACCGTTGTGATAAGCACGAACAGGGGGAGGGGGGGGGGGTGTCGTATATGGTCGGAGAAGTAAATTTTTAGATAACTGATTCCTCTTGTCTCACGGACGCTATAAGGGTGGGGGGAGGGATCATATATGTCCTAGAGAGGAATTTGCGGCGTTGGGAAAAAACTTTTCCAAATTGTTGGCTTTTTGCACTTTTTCCCGTTTTTAACTGCTTCATATATAAGAGGATAGGAACCAAAGGGGGGGGCGCATTTTGCAGAAATTTATCACAACGCGATGAAGTGCCCTGGTGTTGTCTAACGTTCGGCGCTACACTAGCCTTTTTTTATTTTTTTTCTTTCGCCAAGCGACAGGAGTATGCGAAGTAGGCAGCGTAACCGAGTGGTTTACGTCGCAGAGCCTCACGAATGTGTGGTCTAGAGTGGGATCCTCGATGCGTTTAGAAGTGGGTGAAGGAAATCAGGTCAGGGTACACTATTAGTTGGGGATTTTGGTAGGGTCCGTAGGACCCCCTCCTCCCACGTAGCTCGCATGCGACCTGTGACTCCCCTCTTTACTAGCTAGCTCCTCATCGAGCTGTCGAGCGGGGGAGGGGTGAGTGCACACGAAACAAGAAAACTCGGGGAAGTCAAAGCCAACCTCCCTTTCACAAGGCACAACCTCCTCCCAACGAATGAGCAAATACGACTTATTGTTGAAAACGTCCCTGGAACAAGAACAATATCATCAAAAAAGTTTCTCTCAGGCACAATACGACTGATCTCCTCCCTCATCGACCAAATACACCCCCCCCCGTTGAGGAATCCCTGACAATGGTGTGCCCTGACGGAGACTAATGATAATTGTACCTTCATCCGGTGCGCCCTTGTCTGATACCTGTGAAGAAGAAGGAAGCGCCAATGATATAGACACAATGCACAGCAGGGGCTTCCGCTCATCTATCCTGGATTCTGCGTTCAGCGATGGCGTAGTTTTACGTCAGACCATCCAGATTCCGGTAAACTGCTCGCTTACCCCCAGTGGAAAGCTCTCAACAGAAGAAATCGTGCCATTTAATCTGAAAGGACTTACGCGTGCAAGAAAACCATCAATGCATTGTTTTTGATGACCCTGGTTGGCGGAATGAGGCTTTAACCTCTGAGATGACATTCACTACTGAATAGCGAGCGGCGGAATGCGTGTCTGATGAAGAACAGATCACTAAAGAGATGGGCACCCTAAGCCTTGATTGTCTTCGAAGGTACAGACCATTCATTAGGCATGACCATCCCCTTTGATCACCTTGAATCCATTCACCATTGAACGGCCACCAACAGTGGCAAGATCGATCGTAGCCACGTAAGGCAATCTTCGAATGCATTCCCTACCAACAACTCCTGTAGGACCATTGGCTCTCATTAATCAAGCTGGTATAGGAGAAGCCGTCTTTATCTGGAAGATGAAGCAGACCAAATTCAGGTACTCTTTTTTATTGGCTGGCGTCCTGAAATTCGTTATTTTCGGTATCAGAACAGCAGTTACCTAGTTAAGAGGGGCGGGGCTGTACACTTAACTCTGCTGGCAGCACCTCTTTCGCCGCCCTTGTCGAGGCACGGAAGAGACGTACCACCTCCTGCTGTGCTGTTCTCTGTTGATGTTTGCTTTTCTTGAAGTCGTGGCTTTCATCTATTGTCCACGACGGCCTTCTACGTCTATGGTTTCGTGTCATCCTCAGCTGCAGGACATACTGTAATCTCACCTCCGGAGACGGTGCTTCCTATGGACAAGGTCAATTTAGGCTGCGTTTATACTTTGCGGCAGCGTAGCGTAGCGCTTCCAGCGTACGCCAGCGGCAGTGCCGGGGAGAGGATGCATATCAATCTAGCGTTCCCAGCGTCACCAGCGTCACGCTAGCGTACGCCAGCGTTTCTCCAGCGTTTCACCAGCGTTTTGCTAGCGTTTGCAGCGGCAAGGGAGTAGAGACTATGGACTAATGGAAGAGCTGCGAGCGGTACAAAACACATCCGGTTGCGCGTCTCTACTCGCCCTTAGTACTCTACAATGCACATTCGCTTCTGCGTTCTCCGCGAACAAAGTCTACTCCGCATCACGCTATGACGTACAAGTCTTACGTATACACGTCGGCGATTCCGCGCTCTGGCACATAGTTCTCTACATACACGTCGATTCCGCGCGTCTCTCACGGCCAGCATGTCGTCTACTCCCTGCCGCTGGCGTATTTAAGCGGGTAGCAAAAGCTGACTAGGTTGCCCGCTGGAGGAACGCTGCGAGAAACGCTGGCAGAAACGGCTGGGTTAGCGTATAAGAGATAGCTATGCTCCCGTGGCGGCTCGCCGCGTCCGCTAGCGGCACGCTAGTAGCTGGTCGTGCGCTAGCGTCGCATGGTTACGCTGGTTAAGCTAGATAGATATCTTGCTTTCCCGCGCACTGCCGCTGGGCGTACGCTGGAAGCGCTACGCGACGCCTGCCCGCAAAGTCATAAACGCTAGCCTTAGGCACTGCTGCAGTAGCGTCCCGATTTCTCCTCTCAAAAGAGGGAAAGCGGAACTGGAACTAGTTGCATACCCGGGTGCCCGCCTCGATACCTCGCCTCGCTCTATCCTCACATGTGCCACCGCTCGCCGTCAGTGGATCAAGATCCTCTAGCAAAACACTTATTTAGGCAGTGGAGAACACAGAAAGGAGAGAGGTCAAACAACTAGCGCGTTTAGCTACGGGTAAGCGTGGGTCGTTAGTGGCACTCGCCTGGCAGCGTAGCAGTAGCGGAAGGCACTGGTCTCTTTCCCCCCTCTTGACTTCTTTAACAGGGAGAAAGTCGTCGCCTACTGCAGTTGCTGACCCCTTCTCCTTGCGCGAGGTGCGACCGTCGTCCCGGGGATGGGTGTACAGATTATTTTGAAACGAACCTAATCTCGTATGCGCTGTTAGAACAAGGACTAGTTGGAAGGATAGTACCCACTTGATCCAGCCTACGCCCTACATTTGCCCATACACTGCGTCTCACCCAGCCATGGTCTTCTATGTAGAAGCAGTTTAACTTTTCGGTGATAGGATTCAGGCGTAAAGAGGACGGGACAAACCTACTCGCCAAACCAACTCAGATACACCTCTATGAGGATTGGAAAGGTGTCGCTAAGCTGTTCCTAAGCCCCAGGTG